TATAAAGCTAAATTGTATGTCATATATTGGTTATTAATCTTAGTCATTAATCTCAAATTTCACATATAATTGAAATATAAGAAAGCAGATTACAGGAGATGCAGAGGACTGAGTAGTTTCTCCTCAAAAAAGATATATCCTAATCCTTACCTAGTGGTGGCAAAACTACAACATGATGCCACCTCCAGGGGTTTCCAAGTTCATCAATACTGTCCTCATCTATAGAGTTCTAAATGCATCCTTTCTTAGAAGAAATGAAAATAATCTTTGAAATATATATAAGGATCTTAACAGAGGATTATTGGGATAGGCTCTAAATCCAATGATAAATGTACCCATAAGAGAAATGCAGAGAAAAATCTGAGACAAAGAAAAAGACACAGGTACTCGGGGCAATTCAATGTTAAGACACAGGCAGAGACTGGCATGATACAATTACAATTCAAGGAAAAGCTCAGTATTGTCAGTAGCCACCAAAACCTGGAAGAGGCAAGAATGGATTCTCCTTGGAACCATGGAGAGGGAGTACAGCACTGCTAAAATCTTAATTTCAGATTTATGCTCTGCTACACAAAATGAAAATACTTGATCTCTACGCCATCCTCATCCCTTCATCCCATGTTAAATGCCTGCAACAAATCTTCCAAGAGGGACATATTATTTGCAATGGAAAAGCTATAATATTGTTTATTTATGTATTATAAAGGAAGGAGCCCCCATCTGTTTCTACCCTACATTTAGGAGAGTGCTTATTTCCCATTACTAAAATGCTGTTTCTCCAAGAAAAATATAGCAAGATTAAGAAGCAGATTTACTTCCATTTGCCATTAGTAACTAATTTTAATCTAATAGCTGGATATAAATTTATAGGCACATTTTTATAACTCCTGTTTAAAAAGCTTTACATGTTTTAAAGTGTATTTCCTCATGACCCTTTACTAGACAGATAATTACTAGCATCTTCTACAGTGAAGACTGGTTTGATCTGAAGATCTGGAAGCTGGGCAAGCAAGGATTCTACTGCATCCTACTTTGTCTTCTGTTGTAGATAGGCATTTACAGGCAGCAAGTTGGGAAATACACTTTATCTGTATCAGGAGAACTAGCATTCTTTAGCTCTGCTTGCTATGGTGGTCTTTCTATTAATTGAATCTCTATCTTTATGTGAAAATTGTATAGAGTTCTAGTTGCCTCATTAATCTATATCACTACCAAAAACAATGGCTGAAGAATAAAACATTAAAAAATGGAAGTTTGGCTGTTTCCTACCAACTAGAAACTTGGAGGAGTCTTACTTTAAAAGAGTAATTATAATGAAGAGACTATATGGTTTGCAGATTTCTTACATAATATTTGCTAGCACCCCTCTACATGCATAGAATTGAGATATAAGTGAAAAAGATATTTACTTAGTGTTATGGTTTGTGTATAGTTGAAAGCCACATGTAGTCATTTTTTTTTTTTTTTTTTTTTTTCCAGAACCGGGGATTGAACTCAGGCCCTTGAGCTTGCCAAGGAAGCACTTATTCCACTGAGCCATCTCCCTGGCCCCTAACACATGTAGTCATTGGGGCAGTCTTCTAGAGTCTGTGATCAATTCATGATCCAATGCTGAGATTCTGGGCATGAAAGTTACACCCAACCTGGGGTGGATAGCCTGAACACAATTTAAGGAAGGGAGAGAGGTTTGCTAGCTGCGGCAGTCACTGCACCTCTCCTTTGGTCTGTGCTGTTTTCCGCCTCCATGAACTATTGCCCTCTGCCACTCTGCCTTGGAGCCAACTGATTATGGACTGGAAACTCCACAAACTGTGAGCTATTTAAATAAGCCTTTCCTTCTTTAATTCTGGGTGTTAGGTATTTTGTTCCAGCAATGAAAGAAAAGTAACTGAGACACTTAGTGTCAAGACAAAAAGAGAGACCAGCTTTGAGTTTTGTATCAGTACTACTGAACAGTTGTGTCATCTTAACAATTAAGGTAATTCTGTAAATATCTATTTCATCATATATATCCATTAAATCAGAGATTATAATACCATAAAACAAACTTGTTATAATAGTTTTTAATTTAAAAAGAAAATTTAATATTCCACTGATCAGTTTCACATCAGCTTTCTCTTACCTTATCAGTTAACTGCTAAGCTCACTAAAACATTTGAGATTCTAGCATAATAACTTTAGAGTATGATGAAAGAATCCGAAGTTTTTTTCAAAGGTTCCCAGATGACTGTTATTCAGCAAAGCAGAATACTTTCTAACTCCTCAGGCTCTCCATTTTCACCTATTCTCTTCTGTCTAGACTGTACCTCTTCAGTAACTATCTATAGAGTTCTAGTTGCCTAGAACTATTCTTGCAACAGTAGCCTTAAATTCCCTGCAGTGCCATCTTCCAAAGCATTCATTAGAACCCAAACCTGAACATCAAGGCCACAATGCACGCAATCCACAGCTGGCACTGCTAGAAACCTGATAAACTAGGTTTTGATAAATCATAATTTTTAATGTTCAATTTCAATTGGGCCCTTCAACAATCTTTTTTTTTTTTTTTCTTCTTAGGAAGCTCTTTCTTTTCTTTCCCCAGTAACTCTCCCAAGAGAAATAACTGCAAACACTGACAAAACAATAAAGATTATTAACTTCATAAATTTCTACCCTTGAGTATTCTGTATGAAAAACTGGAATTATGCATAAAACTCTTCCCCAAAAAAGTGGTTATCATGGAAAAAAAGCACTGTTTGATAGAGCTACAGCTTACCAAGCTGCAAATAAGTCTTTTTTTTTTTTTAAAGGATATCATTTTTATTTGAAAGACTAAAAGTAAAGTGAACCTTACTCAGACTTCAGTTTGTGACTGACATTTTCTCAAAAATGAATCAAGTGAGACCTGTCATTTCAAGGAAAACAAAACAAAAACAAACCAGTACTTGTCAATGATAAAATTTAAGCTGTCAGGTGAACATTCAAATTTTGGAAAACTTGTATCTCCTAAGTGATATTGACAGATTATCAACACTTGCAGCTCTGTACTCTAATTTTTAAAATAGTTCACAAACCCAAGGAAAGTTAAATAATGACAATATCATTTAAACAGACACTTAAAAGTATATTATGTTTGAAAATACATAAGGCAATACTTGACAAAATAACCACTGAACCACAAAATCCAGAATATCTTATATTATCCAGTCATGATAGAACACACTGTGACCTCAGCACTGGGGAGGCTGCAACAGAAGAATCACCATGAGTTAAAGGCCAGCCTGAAATACACAGCAGCAAGAGCTTGTCTCAGAATATCAAAAAAGGGCAGGGGGGCTTTTGAGGGAAAGCAAGCTCTGTTCAAGAGGGTGATTCTTTTTTTTTTTTTTTTTTTTTGGTGGAACCGGGGATTGAACTCAGGCCCTTGCGCTTGCCTGGCAAGTGCTTACTCCCCTGAGCCATCTCCCCAGCCCCCTAAGAGGGTGATTCTTAATGAGGCTCTACATAAAAATCTAACTTCTGACTTGAAAATTTAGTAAACTTTAAAGCAAGAGTGATAGGGAAAAAATGGACCTGGAATCCTAAAAAGTTTGGATTATACATGGTATATGTATATTTAACAGAAATGTTATTCCCAGATATATTTTATTATTTTGTATGTATGACTTCTCAAGTGATATTTTAAGATTCCTGCAGAGGCCATGTTTTACAATTCTTTCCTATCTGATGTACAAACCATTTGTTTGGAAAACTAAGATTTACAAAGGAAGGAAACAAAACTGTAATAACATATGATCTAGACTGAATCCCAGCTCTGGAACTTAGTGAGGCTTGGATGATTTGTAGGATCACCCTACAAATATCCTAAATAAAAGTACCACAGATAACTAATAATCACAAAAGAAGCAAGATTTGTGGTTGTGATTCAGGAATTTGTAATGCTCAAGTTCTAATTTTTCATGTTATTTTCAAATAATCAATGTGATTTTTTATTCTGCACTTCAGCAAAAAGAATCCATACATATAAGGAAGATAGTACAAATTTATATAGAAATGCATTGCTCAAAGAATTGGCTTTGTAACATGTCTCAGGATGGTACACAGATGTTTAAATATCTGAAGTATAGTATGTTTCCTATATTATTAAAGTTTAATGTATGATAGCATTGTAGTATCACACAATTCCATTTTATTCTTTTTCACCATATTCTAAAATATTACATCTATTACTTCATACATATTTTCAGTCACCCTATGATCTTCTACAAATGCATTCTCCCCTCTCTCTTCTCTTCCCTTCCTTTCCTCCCCTCTCCTCCTTCCTCCATCCTTCTCTCCCACTTTCCTCCCTCCCTTCTACATTCCTATACCCTTGAGATAATTTCCACCACAAGAGGGCAGCAAGTATACAAAGATAAACGAACTAATCCATGAGAAACTGAAATCCATATACTGTACTAACAAATCTAAGAACCAGAGCATTATAAACCCTAAAGCAAAGGAAATTAGAATTGAATAGGAAGACATATACTTCAAATTCAAAATTAATCCTATGAGTTTAGAGAAGCACAGAATCATGTTCAAAGGAATTCTGTTTCTTCAGTGAGGACCAACTAAATAAATATACCTAATTCCCTCGAAGGTAGATAGCAATATTAGAAATAAGTTATTTTTTTAATAACATCCTCAACTAAAAAAAGATAAAGGACAGAAATAAACCACAGAAAGGTAGAAAATGCAGAATGGGTAAGAAAGTAAAAACTGATTTACCAACTCTTCCACTGAATAGCAAATTCAGCTATATTTTTCTGGATGAAGAGTGATTGCAGAAACAGTTTCAGTTCTTTAAGTCTCACATATAAGAAGGCTAGGGAGGAAAACTAATAAGTAACCTCTGCCAAGTAATTTTACTACTTTTTGCACAGAATCTAAGCTGAGATGAATTAAATTTACTTTCATAGACATTACTAAACTGCAACACTTATATGGTCAACATTTTCAACAATTTGTAATGTTCTTACCCTCATAGGATGTATATCAGCATAAGGAGGCTTTCCTTCAGCCATTTCTATAGAAGTAATGCCAAGGGACCAGATGTCAGCCACACAGTTATAGCCTATTTCTTGAATTACCTCAGGAGCCATCCAAAATGGAGTGCCTATCACAGTATTGCGTTTTGCCATTGTATC